AAACAACTCTACAAACATCATCACCAGCTACACTTATTACTTAATACATGTATTTTTGTATAACATTTACTAAAGTTCTTCTTGAGAAAAAGTGAAAGTTTTACGTCACCATCATGGAGAACAGAGTTTGCTTTAGTTGGGCTCCCGTTTTCTTCCGCGAAGCAACCGTGCCTGGAAACTCACCTGGTGCGATCTGCTCTCTTTAAAATAAACTGGACAAAAGGTGATGCTTGTGAATCTGCAGACCTGCTGCTTTGAAGAGCTCCAGATTTAAAATAAATGTTTGGTTAACTTGTGATCTGGGACCTTTAGCCAGGACAATTAAAGAAAAGTTTTGTTCAATAAAAAGAGCATGTATACAGCTATATTTAACTTATTTTGACACATTATTTAAAATTTATGGCTGAGATATAATTATGTATTTTTGTTGTGGTCAGAGATACAATTGGTAAATGCTTAATTTTTAGTCCTGAAAAGTCACGTATAATAAAAACTGATTGCAGTGCTACACAGGGCCGGAGTGGGACTCCTTTTCAGCCCTGGAGTTTCAAGCCTTAGACCGGCCCACCTCAGTTCACGACTGACTATATTAAAATAAGGTCATACCAATTCAGTTTCTAATGACACGATCACGTCTTTTTCAAGGACACAGCTGCTTTTAAGATTAAAGGGGAGCTGAATCTCCAACACTATTCTTTACAACAGCACAACGTCCTTTCCTGCAATATCTGAATATATATTCTGTGCTAAATTCTTTATAGATATCCAGTCCTTTATAACGGTGGTCACACAAAAAATAAAATATGTACACCTATATAAGTAACCCAAACAGTATTACATGTCTTAGCACTAAAAATGAAAATAAATGACTAGAAATGGTGAGGTTTGAACTCCGGTCAGCGGCGTCATAATGAAATGTGCTGACCACTGGACCACAATGGCTTAAGTATTTACTCTCCTTTTTAGATTTCTGATCAAGGTATGTCAGATTTATGTAAGTTTTTCTCCTTTGGTTTGGCTCATTTCCTAAAACAGAAATTACATTCTCAAAACAACATGGACAAACCTCCAAACCACTTGGCAATTGTTCACAACAGAGCTGAATTTCTCATTCATTTCATCACATTGCAAATGTCTAAGTACATCTTTGCAATTGATTAAGTACAGATAGATGACATTTAGCACAGTTTCCAAGTGAAGAGATCTAGTTGATCTAAATTGATTGGTAATTCTCAGTCTAATGGTCTTTCTCTCCAAAACGTGTCGCGTCATTTCATTGTATAAGTCATTGCACAATTGCATATAAGTCATGCACAATAGTCTGTTCAATTGTCCAAATCATTCAAGACCATAACACCATGAGCACCATACAGCAGGTGAATGCTCGGAGCATTTGATGACAGTTTATTACAGCTCTCTACTCTTTTTGCACTGATATATGGAAGATGCTTTGTGTGTGCTTGATCATTACAATAATAAAGGAGTGACCGTTTCCCTGGCAGTATGAGTGCAATGTGTGACGTCAAACCTTATGAGGCTACTCGTATCTTAAAATCCTGTTTCTGTTTTCAGTTTTATACATTGTCGGCTGGACAAAAACAGTACAGTGAGCATTGTCAGTGAAGGACTGGGCTGAGACTGTGAGGTGGACATGAGGGATGTTTTAGTGGTGCTTTGCCATGATGACCAAACATCTGAACATTTCGACTTGCGGTGCTCACACAATGCTGAAGGGACGAAGCGTTTTGGGGGCACTGACTGTTTAAATGAGAAGATCATTTAGTTTCGACACACGAGTGAACTGTTTTGGGAAAGATATGAGCTTTTGTAAGTGAGCTGTAGTGTTTTGCCAAATGATCTTAGAGTTTTGAGAATGTCATTTCTGTTTCAAGAAAAGAGTCAAACCAATGGAGAAACACTGTAATCTAGTGAATCAGCAGATCTTCATTGAGCAGCTGTAATATTCATTAATAATAATTATTCAAAGTCTTTTACTGAGGTGTCGCTGTTTGGGGTGGAATGATGTCACGTCATTAACCTGCAGGCTGCATTTTGCTTGCGGGGCTTTGAGAAAATAAATAAAAAGAGCAGAGCTGCGGCAAAATAATGAATAAAAAGAGTGAGGCTGTGCTCAAATAAATAAACAAATGAAAAAAAGTGCAACTGCTGAGAGTGCAGGCAGCTAGAGACACCGGCCCTCACGGCCAAAAAACATACCGGCCCACCGGGAATTCTCCCGATTAGCCAATCCGGGCCTGGTGCTACACTACAACTCATTTGCTCACGCACATCAAGCAAGGTCATACACAACACAGAGAACAGTGAAATGCATGAGGACATCACACAACATCTAGATCAAGTCATTTTAGCATGTCAAAGTCAGATTTATGCATATAAAATATATTCTCCAACAACAAAATCATGGCTAGTGAAAATGGTGAATGGCTAGTAATGTTGGAGATCTACTAGCCAAAGTGGCTGGTGATGAAAAAAGTTAATGTCAAGCCCTGTGTGTGTGTATATATATATATATATATATATATATATATATATATATATATATATATATATATATATATATATATATATATATATATATATATATATTTCTGCTTGTGAATGCTGTGACATGACTATCGGGTCTGTTTCAGTGCGGTGTTGTTAGTGAAGTGAGCATTGATTGCTATAAAGTGTGCTGTTCTTCATCTCAGTATATTGTCATCTCCAGGTGATGGTCAGCGGCTGATTGTTTCCTCAAAGCTCTGCTAATGTCTGCATTGGTGTTTTAGCTGCAGTATGGCAGAGGAGCGAGTAAAGGACTCTCTCTCAGAGAAACACAGGTATTGACTCTGTTTTTACACCATTATTTCAACACTTTCTCTGAAGAACAAACACCAACAACAATGCTCTTATTTGTGTTGCTATTGCCTGATCAAATGGTCAAATGGGGGTACAATCTTCTTCTTAGCTGGTTCTTGGTGAAAAATGTTGGAGAACTACTGGTTTAAAGCCTGTTGTGTAGAGGTACAATTTGTCATTTGACCGTTTGTCATCAGTTGAAGTGCGAAAATGCTTAGTTTATATGGAGTGAGAGAGACCTTTGCACTCGTGTCTTGACATGTCTGAGAATTTTAAAATAAGCCCCTCAGCTGTCAGAACACAGTAAGTGTATTTCTGCACACTCACTATAATCTGCTCTTTCACTCCACTGAACTACATATACAATGCAGAAACCATTCAGCTCAGGCTGATCCAAAGGGTTAATGCTGAATAGAGGTAAAGCTGGTTTTATATTCACACATTCAAACTTTCCCCTTAATAATATAATTTCTTTAAAGTATTATTTGCAAACAGTGAAATCATATTAGCAGCTAATGACTATCAAAGTACAACATTGTTCACAGTCAAATAAACAGTGTTGATGTTGTTTTCAAGTCATGTTTGCATGCTAAATGCAAAGTAATGCAATCGAATATTCAAAGTAACATGGTAAACAATATAGAGACTTCTAAATGAACGAATGTGTGAATATAAAACCAACTTTACTTCTATTAATGCTGACATCTGATGATCAACAGTTAAAATTCTTTCCAACAGCACCAATCAAGACTGCATGATCAGATGCTGATATTGCTTCATTATAGGAAGTCATTGGGGTAAAAACAGCCACAAGCATAACAAAAGGGTGCTACATTTGAACAATACACACAGATTAATACAGATATACATGTTAGTCGGTGCCAATAGCCTAGTGGTTAAGTGCGCTCATATATATATACACTAGATGTCGCCTGGCCTATTGTTGTCTATTGGACGAAATGCGTCAAGAGCGCCGCCATCTTGGTACAGGGTAGCGCTCCTTTGAAATGAATGCGCGACCAAGGTACAGTGGAGGACTGGCCATGCAAAGCCAGCGATATACACATATATCTGTGATCGGGAGTTTTCCTGGATGTTAGTATGTAATTTTTTTTTCTAATTACGAAAATTATCACTTTTCTACATTGATGGATCAGTGACTGCACTGGCATTCCTGACAAAAAGCTTGTGTTTGTGTGTACAGAAATGTACTATTCACCCTCCCTATTAAATTTAATCTAATCATGTCCTGAAACACAGCTCCTCTCCTGCTTTCACTTCTCATACTGACGGAGAGAGCGATTCGTTTGTGAATGAATCCCCCAAACCACTCTTTCACTAACGTTAGCCGACAATAATACAAGTGTCTGGCAGCACAGCATCTCGTTTTCATATTTCTTTTGCATTGTTTGCTGATTTTATTCAACAAAACTAGCATAAGCCGAGTGTTTAGTGCGAGTTGGAGCTGCTTTGCCGTATGGTGAATGCAGTAAGTGACTGTTATCATCAATACGTGACCTGATTAGCACAAAAGTTCAGAACATACAAAAACAGAAAAAAACATAATCTTACATATGTAGACAGCGCTAAAGTCCAGCATCTTCACGTAAAAACACTGTCTTGACTAGTGCGGTTGAATGACATTTGTCCTGGGAGCACTGTACCAATGTGGCGGCGCTATTGAGGCATGCTCAGGGTCCCTATGCGATATCTAGTGTATATATCTATGAAGTGCGCTGACATATAGCACCATGGTGCTCACGGCGACCCGAGTTCGATTAGCGACTCAAGGTCCTATGCCGACCCTTCTCCTCTCTCTGGTCCTAATACTTTCCTGTCTGTCCTCCACTATTCTATCCCAATAAAAGGTGAAAAACCCCTAAAAAAAGAAAAAATATATATACATGTAAAACTTAGTGTGTAGCTCAGTGAAGGGAATTTTATTTATTTATTGTCTTTTCTACCTAGAGATTATATTAATGTTTTGTTTTTATATTTAAGCCAATGATTAGTCTGCTCTTAATTAAACTGAACAAACTCGTATTTGTCTGATAAACTCTTGTAAAGGAGACTGAAGTTTGTCCTGCAGTTTATTCCTCTGCTGTGTTTGTGGGTTCAGTGTGAGATCAGGATCATGTGTGTCCAGCTCTGTGTCTCTGAAGAGTGACCGGTCTAAAGGGAATCCACCAAACTTCAGTGGGAAAACACCATCATCTGCCCAAAGGTATTGTGTGTTTTACATTATTGATCACATCAACAGTTTTGTGTAAACCCACAATTCAGTAGAGAGAGTCATTCCTGAATAAATCAGTTGTTTAAATTAATCAAATGACTTTGGTGATTCATGAAGACATTTACAGACACCTGGCGTCTTATTCAGAGGATCTTTCAGTAAATATTAATATCAGATTTCTGTCGATTATTTCATTTGTGGAGCATGAAAGATGTTTTGAAGAAGTTTATAACTGAACTGTTGTGTAAATATATCTAAATAAAAGTGAAGCTTTTGAAGGTAAATGTAGCTGTGTTGTTTTGTAGCTAAAAGGGTGTGTAATAATGAACTGTAAATCAAACTTTCAAAGCTACTTTCTAATGACTTTGTGGTTGACAGGTCTTTGTAATGATAGAGACAATTTACTGTGATTTCTCAGCTTAATGTAACAGAAAACTCAAGTGACAAATCTGTCCACTGTCTCCTTATTATGAGCACTACATGTATTATTTTCAGTGTTTGTAAGATATATCTGTATGTGTTTGCCTGTAAATGTGTAATTACAGTAGTTTTATCTGTTAACAGTGTTGAATATGAGTCAGCAGATTCAGGAGACGACCCTCACAGGAGCTTCACAGACAATCTCCAGTCAATCTTCCAGGTGGGAAAAACTCATTTATTATAAACAAATAAAATAAAAATAGTTATTTAAAAATATACCGCTTAATTAAAATGTCGAGCAATTCATTTATTAAAGAATAATTGACTTCAGTTCATTGAATACTTATAAAATAATGCACAACTGTGATACTCGTGGAGTCTCCGTTACACCTCTGTGTGCATTATTTTCTAATAAATGAACAGATTAGTCAATTATTCTGCATGTCCCACCAAGTAATTTTTGTGTAATAGATGTGCAAATAAGAATGGCTTGACTAAAGGCTGAGTTTGTGCTTTTGGTGAAACTCTAACAGTAGTCCAAATCTAGACTAGTCGTCAATACAAAGATTAGACAGACTTCACACGTGTAGTCATTCTGTAGCTGTGAAATAATGAAAATCATTCAGCATTCATAAATGTGCTCAATGCCTGTCTGAACCTACTCGATCTGAAAACAACTGCACACCATATAAAACACAGTCCTGTTGTATAATGTATTTTCAATTGTTCAGTAGTTTATGCATGAACAGCTGTATGCTAATGAGTGTTTTGTTTAAATGTTGATCTTCTCTTTTCTTCAATCATAGAATCTTGAGAGTAAAATGATCAGATTTCTGAAGAATGAATTGGAGAAATTTAAGAAAATCTTACAAGAAGAAAACAGACAAGAGTTTATAAAAGAGTTTAATGAGAACAGAAGCATTATCACAGAAGCAGCTCTTGATCTCACACTCTTCTTCCTGAGAGAGATGAAGCAAGATCAAGCTGCTGATACTCTCCAGGGTAAGAGACTTATGACCATCTGTCAGACTGACACTTACTAATATAGCTCTAGTAAAGACTAAAACTCTCTGTTTCTTTGCTCCTGTGTTTAGATGAGCTGTTCTTCATTAATCAGCTTAAATGTAGCCTGAAGAAGAAATATCACAGTGTGTTTGAAGGAATTGCTCAGCAAGGAGACTCCACACTTTTGAATACCATCTACACAGATCTCTATATCACTCAGGGTGCGAGTGAACAGGTCAACACTGAACATGAGATCAGACAGATTGAAGCTGCTTCCAGACGTCATCAGTCACTAGAGATACAGGTTGAATGCAAACATTTGTTTGAAGCAGCTGAACAAGACGAGCAGATCAGAACTGTCCTGACAAAAGGAGTTGCTGGCATCGGGAAATCAGTCTCTGTGCAAAAGTTTGTTCTGGATTGGGCTGAAGGGAAAGAAAATCAAGACATCAGCTTCATATTTCCTCTTCCATTCAGAGAGATGAACTTAAAGGAGAAAGAACGACAAAGTTTAAAAGACCTCATAACTCAGTTTTTCCCAGAGACTAAAGGAATGAACCTTACAAGAAGCACACGATTCAAAGTCCTGTTCATCCTTGATGGATTGGATGAGTGTCGTCTTCCTCTGAACTTTGCTGGTAATGAGACGTGTGGTGATGTATCTTCAGCAGTCTCTCTGGATGTTCTCCTAACGAACATCATCAAGGGAAATCTGCTTCCTTCTGCTCTCATCTGGATCACCAGCAGACCAGCAGCTGCCAGTAAGATTCCTGCTGACTGTATCGACCGGCTGACAGAGATACGAGGATTCAATGATGCCCAAAAGGAGGAGTACTTCAGAAAGAGACTCACAGATCAGAATCAGGCCAGAGAAATCATTGATCACATTAAACAGTCAAAGAGTCTCTTTATTATGTGCCACATCCCAGTCTTCTGCTGGATTTCAGCCACTGTTCTCCAGAACATACTGAAACTGAAACACAGGGCTCATGCTGAAACACTGCAGGAATCTCCCAAGACTCTGACACAGATGTACACACACTTTCTCCGCTTTCAGATCCAGCAGAGCAGAAGAAAGTATGATGGAGAAAACACAGCAGATGTCTCCTGGGATCCAAACCTCATCCTTTCACTGGGGAAACTGGCCTTCCAGCAGCTGGACAGAAACAATGTGATCTTCTATGAGAGCGATCTGACAGACTGTGGCATTGACGTCTATAAGGCATCGGTGTACTCAGGCATGTGTACCCAGATCTTTAAGGAGGAGACAGGAATCATTCTTGGTACCATGTACTGCTTTCTTCACTTGAGCATTCAGGAGTTCATTGCAGCCCTTTATCAACATCTGATTCTAGACAGCGACAAGAAGCATGGATGGTTTTTCATACAGATAAGCAAAAATAAAGGCGTGCTTGATTTGCTGAAGACAGCAGTAGACAAGGCTCTGGAAAGTGAGAATGGACATTTGGACCTTTACCTTCGCTTCTTTCTCGGTCTGTCACTCCAGTCCAATAGACAACTCTTACGAGGTCTGTTGACACAGCAGGATGACAGAGACCAGAGCAAAGAGGAAATAATTGCCTACATCAAGCAGAAACTTGAAGGGAATCTGTCTCCAGAGAGATCCATCAATCTGTTCTACTGTCTGAATGAACTGAACGACCAAACTCTGCTGAAAGAGATTCAGTCTCACCTCAGTAGTGGAAGTCTGTCATCTGCTCACCTTTCACCTGCACAGTGGTCTGCTCTGGTCTTTGTGTTGTTGACCTCAGAGGAGGAGCTGGAGGAGTTTGAGCTTCAGAAATTCCAGAGATCAGACGAGTGTCTCATCAGACTATCAGCAGTCATCAAAACCTCAAAAAGAGCTTTGTAAGTCAAAGTGCTTCATTCTTTCATCTGTGAAGTCCATCTATTAGCCCAATGAGGAAACTAACAGCGTGGTCAAAGGTTATATGCATGTAAGCCTTTTCTAGTGCTTCTGAAAATAATTTTGTTATTTATTAGAATTTATTTATATTTGTTTTTTAGCTCTAAATTTAATCTGACTCCAATTTTAAGTAACCATCAAATTTAGACTACACTGTTAGACCTTACCAGGCTTTTATACAGTAGAACACTGGCAACACTGTTGCCAGATACTCACTGTAAAGATTTGGTTACAGTAAGTAACTGGCAACAGTGTTGCCAGTTAATTACTGTAATAGAGCAGTAGTGGTAACTAACTGGAAACTGTGTACAGTTAATTACTGTACTGTTACAACTTACAGCATTATACTGCATACACATTAATAGTATGTCATAGTGTTACTAAAATTAATCAGTATTCTTACCTGTTATTAAAAATAGAAGGCATAAAAATTCTGACAAATTTATTTTATTGTTTTGGCAGCAAACAAATATACAACAGAAAATATATAACAAAATTAAGAAACTAGCAGATATAAATATCATCTTACATATTAATGAGAGCCACAGGTCTGCACAGTAAGGCTGTGGTCACACTAATGTTTGAGTATGCGAAATTCTGTCATATGGCACTGCGAAAAGGAGTGGGATTAAACAAAATAATTAGAGATTGAAAAAGCAAGCGACTGGTCCATATTTTTTGTTCAGAGATCATGATTTGATCTTTGATTGGTCTCAAGCAATCACATGATGCAGGTCAGAGTTCTCCAAGCTTGAAGTTTCCAATACTGCGAACTGTAAAATTTGTCACATGAGGTTGCATTCCAGGGGCCTCATGTATCAACGCTGCGTACGCACAAAAACTTTGCGTACGCCAGGTTTCACGCTCAGAATCGCTCACGTTTGGATTTACTAACAATGAACTGAACGTGGGAATGTGCGCAGGTTCACGGCAGCTTTCTGGCAGGCGTACGCACATTTTTTGTGCGTGTCTGTTTTATTTCCATTGGCGACTCCTAGAGGCAGTTGTGTTAAATTCCTCTCTACAAAGTGTCTGAGCCTTGCAATGGCAGCTGTATGAGACGGGTTCATATAGTAGGTATGTAAGATTTCCATACCATACAGTTGACCAGCTAAACATTAAAGCGCAATTTGCAGCGGTCGCCTGTTTTCCCAATGTAATCTGAGCGATCTACTGCACGCACATTGCTATAAAGACACTATCTGAAGATGAATTTGCATGCGTGAATCAGAAACATTTCCATTCAATAAATGTGCAAATAAAATATGATGCACAAACTTATTGATGATTCCTACTTGTCTTTCTCGTGATAAATAGTGGGCAAAATCTGATATGTAGCGGGGAAAAAAAGAAGAAAGAATTC